CATAGACTATAATAACTTATAGTGTAGGTTACCAAAGCCTATGGCTAATGAATAAAGAAAAAAAATGATTAAAAGTATCATGAATAAAATAACAGCCAAATAGCATTATGGGCCCATGACTAAGACTGATTTGTACATGATACAATAAGCCCCTCAGAAATAAGCAAATATTTATTCAGTCAGTTAAGGTAGCATTTCTTAGTCTGTTAGCAATTTAGGAGGAGATTAAACAACACTCACTAAAGAATTCAGCCTTTTAAAAATCAGTAGTTAGAAAACATGCAATCACATGTTTCAAAAAAAAAAAAAAGTCAAATTCTATTAACAGACCAAAAAAAGAAAAATATTTAACATCACTAAAGACTGCAAGTACAACTGAAAAAAAATTACTTCATAGATACAATATATTCTGGCTTGGCACAACATGGTATTGTTACAACAGTACTATAAATCAGTAAGGTACAAATGATATGGTCAAGGACTGCCTGCCTACCTGAGAAATGAAGCAGCAGCATTATCAGCTAAAAGGAAACAAAGCAAAGACCAATTCCAGACACAATACTTTTATTATTCTTGATTTAGAATTACACTGACAGTCCATCTCAAGATAAAACCACCCTTTGTTGCCTCTCCATTACTACAGAAATAAATTAAGACATATTTGAGATGATCAGACCTTGACAATCTCTTACTACTTTATCTTCAAAATAAGACCAGTTACGTTTCCACATATTTTTCTACAAACTCAAATAAGCAGATTTACAGCTAATTTCAACCAACTAGCCTATAAAAAGAGGAAACCACACACACCCCCAACAAATTTATTGATGTACAAGTAGATTTTCACCTAGGAAATTATTAATGAAGAGCTTTAATCTCTGCTCTTGCTTTTATTTCAAAAGGATGAGAACATAAAACATTGAAATAAGACAAGTGCTACTCTAGAAACAATTAAGTGAAATATTTCCACATCTGATCCCCATGAAACATCTGATCCCCTCAATCAAGTATTTGCTTTCAATTTAATTTCAGCACTACATCTTCTTACTGCTTTTTACAGGGAATTGTGTAATACATGCATCTGTTCTTTTGTATGGAAGACCCTGAATTCTCACATATACCTAGTCACCTCATCTCCATGAGGTACCAGCACAGAGCAAAAACATGTCTTCTAGAAAACCTGACTGCTAGGAGGAAGCAGCAGTTAAAACTACACGTCACACATGAATGTGAAAAAACAGAAATTATTTTTTTTTCTAATTCACTGAGAATGAATCCTACTGGTCAGCTCAAAGAAGAAAGTATCAACGCAGTCTAAACTACAATAGGGAGGATGGACACAAAATAATTAAATATAAATGTTATGGGTCCAATCATAGCTAGACAAAGCCTCGTTTTTAGTTATCTACTAGCAGAGAAACAACCATGTCTGCAAAAGGTTTCAGGAGACAGATGACAAAAGACAAAAGCCTGGTTCTCTTCTTAAAGGCAAAAAGCTTAAAAAAATTATGAAGCATGGCCAACTGGATTAAAATGAACCTAAAGAGGACATGGCTACAAGAAGAGAAGACAGAATTCCTCACAGGAGACCATTTAACATCACATGTTAAAAATTAGAAGCGTTACACTAGCTTGTCATGGCTTATCCCCAGCTGTCAACTCAGCCCCACACAGCCACTTGTTCACTTCCTCCTGATGGGATGAAGGAGAGAATCAGAAGGATAAAAGTGAGAAAACTCACAGGTTGAAATAAACACAGTTTAACAGGTAAAGCAAAAGCCACGCATGCAAGCAAAGCAAAACCAGTAATTCATTCACCGCTTCCCACAGGCAGGCAGGTGTTCAGCCATCTCCCAGGAAAGCCAGGCTCCGTCACGCGTTGTTACTTGGGAAGACAAACCGCATCGCTCCGAACATGCTCTGCACCCCCCTTCCTCTTTCTTCCCCTGGTTTTATATACTGGGCTGACACCACACAGTATGGGCTATCCCTTTGGTCAGCTGGGGTCAGCTGTCCCAGGCTGTGTCCCCTCCCAACTCCATGCGCACTCCCAGGCCACTTGTTGGTGGGGTGGGGTGAGGCAGAAAGGCCTTGACACTGTGTAAGCACCGCTCAACGATAACAAAAACACTGCTGTGCTATCAACACTGTTTCCAGCACAAATCCAAAACACAGTCCCGGACCAGCTACTCTGAAGAGAACTAACTTTATCCCAGACGAAGCCAGGCTCTATGCATTAGTTAAATTTTTAAAAAACCCAATCCAACACTACTATTTTATGAAATATGGTGAACTAGCAATCTACTAAGAATGTAAAACAGGAAACCTTCATTATAGGTATGTTATGTTCATCAATACATGTATTGTATAAAAACTACAGCAGGCATTAAAAATTTTTAGATCTAGCTATCTAGTTGAGCAGCGAGTTCTTACATTTCTTGCATACATATTCTGAAAAAATAACTAATTTTCCTCTGATTTTCCTTGGTTTTGAGATAGCATGAGAAATTCAATACCTGCAACATGTATTTCACATAATTTTTATTATTTTTACATATAAACACTGGAGCGTAAAATCAACTTCTGAGATATATGTATGTCTGTGACTGTCCTATCCTCATAAAATATTAATATACCATGAAACAAAAATGTGTTACACTGACAGTAATTCCATTGTGTTTTCACCCACCATGTCATTGTACTTACCTTGGAATTCAGCTGTATAGATGGAGTCATTTAAAAGAAATGTTTGATACAGAAACAAATTGCAGAGCTTCCCCTTCTTAAGTGCCCTTTGCAAAATGCAGGCCTATTATTGATCAGCAAGCTTTGCACATCAAAAACACTCCTTGTCCACCAATAATTAAAAAGGTAACACAAGAAAAGCTGCACTTTTTAAAAATAGTACCAATTAATAGCTATTTAAATAATCAAATATTGCTAGAAACCCCCCAATTTCTCTTAAAACCTGAAGACAAAAGGTGCTAAAAGATATTATAACATCAATCTTCAATAGGAAGCTCTTTTTTTGCCATACCTTTGCACAGTGTGAATATTACATAAAGCCTCAATAAATTTTATGTTATAGCTTACAGTAAAATAGAGTAAATAAAATGAGTCTTTCTAAAACCTTTTTATCTCCCTTCCACTTGAAATATGCTTTCATGTTTAAACATAAAAGCTCTGGGATAAAGTATTACTGAGCATTTACAATAATTTCAATGATTCTTTTGAGACATGGAAAAAGATAACCATGAAAACTAAAATACAGCAAGATAATTGATTTGAATAATAGACAATGAGGGAAACAATATAGTTGGGAGAGCCTCTTCTCTACATATATGCATAATTCAATATATTAACATGCATTACTGAAACATTTTAAATTATTTTTCAAATAAATAAAACATCAATTCATATTTGAACATTAGGTGTAGAAAACCACAGAAAGATACTTCATTATATAGCTGGATTTTCAACTTTCATGATATTCAGACTTTAATGAGGAAGTAATTTTTAGGGCCTATTCAAAAATTGTTTACAATTTAAAAAAATTATGCTGGCTTTGGATTTTCCAAAATTCTGATGACTATGACACCAACTTAGTAATAGATAACCATCAGAATTCTCTTAGTTATGTTCTCATGTTCTTGACAAAATCTCCCAGTCAATGTTTACTCATTCAGTGTATAAGGAAATCAAACGTAGTTAGACCTGAAGACGGGTTATTTCAGCTAGCAGGTTAGTAGTAACGCTTCTCTGTATAAAATCCTACAGGCTTGAAAATAATACCAACTATTGCACTGGACTACTTCAACAACACTGAAGACAAATATATTTTATTAATACAGCAAGCTGTTAAAAAAGAAGCAGAGTGAACACTTACAAATTCATCATTTTTATGAGAAAAACGGCAGTAAATTAGTCACTCTCCATGCTGGCTCATTCTTTGTTATGTGCTAAACAGATTACAATCACTGTGCCAAAATTAGGAATGCAAGATGGTTTTACAGTTATATCCAGTATTTATATTGAATTAATGCATCCCAACTGTGGACTGGGATTTGACAACCTAATACTTTAATACTTCATTTTTATCGCAAATGAAACAAATTGACTTAGAAAGATACAGCTGTGAAATTTTGGGGGTTTAAAACTAAGATTTTTTTTTTTTCAGTCAGCACAAAAAAAAAAAGTTGGTGGTGTGCAGACACCACCATAGTTTATATACTACCAACAAGAACAAACAAAAAAATAATTCAGGTTGCACAGTTAAGGTTGGTGAATACTGTATTGGTAGAATGTTGCTGCAGTTGCCACATGAGCTTCTGAGACCACAAAAAAAAAAAAGAAAAAACCCACCAAGCAAAAAAAAAAAAAAAAAAAAAAAAAAAAAAAAAAAAAATCAAACCTCTGAAACCAGAAAAGCCATGCCAAAGTTTTTCCAGTTGGCAATATATGCCAAATAGAACTAAGAGACAATTCAGCATATACCTGTTTTCCAAAAAATCTCCAAAAAGGTAAGAAGGCTAAATGACAATCATTAAAATGGATTATTACATGAATAACCTCTTCTTCCAGGGCTTTATTTATCTTTTACAAGATCTCTAATATAACCCTTTCTTTAAAAAAAACTGCTCAACAGTTACCTGATATATGACAACATCATTGTCTTAGATTTATGAAGGAAGACTCTGCTATATGCCATATTATATTAAATATTTTACTAAAATCAAAGGTCTTACAACTTTAATAAATATAGTTTTAAAAAACATTAAATGTACAATTCTATTTACATGCAAGTCCATTAAAAAGAACAACCTCCAGAAGAAAATGGTCTTGAAAGAGGTCTATTTAAAACACAGAAGATCCACTACTTATTGGAGGTGATGATGTGTTTTAAAAAGGGCAAGGAACAGATCCTTATTAACTGACTGCAACTGTGTTACTGGCTACTGGAAACACTGAAATAATTCCATGAGTCTGTATTGTCACCCCACCTATGTCTTCGCTGCAGAGGTGGTCTTTGAGTGTTTTTGTGGGATGGTACCACTGAATTCATGACAATAGGTATAGATATTTGATATTCATATCGTTCCAACATCTGAGCAATCTTCTCACGAGTGACCCCATGTTTATTCCTCCTACAAAAAAAAAAAAAAATTGAAATTAACTGTCTGGTATTTTTATAGTTAGATATAAGTATATATATAGTTATACATGTTTAATACATGTTCACAGTTATATGTTTACAGTCTTTAAGAAAAAACCTCTGAATTCTCAATTTTTTTTCTTCTTGCTTTTCATATTTAAACTTTTAGTATGCTGTACCCTCATTCTCTAGGTATTCAACTTGTGCTAAGGTTTATTTTAACAATCAACCACTGCACATATTAAGTAACAGTAAACAATACGGTCCTTCTTCTTCATACAGAAATGTGATGTTATACAACTATAACTATATAATACAGTTATACAACTACGTATCTGAGTTACCCTAGAAGGACTTTGCTTTCTATTCATTCATCACATTGTACATGATATACTAGCTAATGAGCAGAGGGAAGAATAATACCATAGACTACTCCTTATGAAAGCAATGTTCAAACTAGCATAAAAAATATGCAACTACATGGTTTCTAGACTTAATGACAATATTTTCTCATCAATACATCTCTTACCACCAAGAAATCTTGTCTAATCTGAAATATTTCCACACTAAACCAACAGGGAACGTATTTCTGAATCTTTGTGCTTTCTGCCAGGGACAGAAGAAGCATCGGCCTTACCACCTTGCTCAGTTCTGTAGAAGGGAAATCAATACTGGGAACAAACAGGCTATACTGGAAAGAGGATACTCCATACAGAAATATTTTAAAAGACTGACTTCCTCACCACCCAGCCCCTCCAGGAGTTTGTATGCATTATTACAACAAAGAAGTATCAAGTTGATAAGGGTTCAAAGCATACTGCAGGTAGCACACTAGTTTCACATTCAGAGTGGAAGCAGAATTGGTGATCTCAGAAGTATTCAAAATTATGCTGGCTCCTTAAGGTGCATTTTATCAGCTTTCTTTCTGTGAAGAAAATGCTTAAGTAGAATATTTCTCTCACAGAAACTCTTCCTTGAGACAACATCAGAAACTAGAGTGATAGTCACTTGTGGCTCACTGTTTACATGTTTCTTATTTCTACATTGTGCTAAAGCGGTCCAGGAGCAGTTGCATATTGAACTTATCAGTTGGTGAGCCTTAACAGTTTTGATTTTATTCACAAATATGAACAAGGTTAATGGTAGAGAAAAAAAACAATGCCCTAGAAAAATGCAGATACTATAAAGCACTTGACACTCATGACAGACAAAATATGAGAAGAGGAACTCTTAAGTCCTTTTATGCCAAGTGATGGAAGCAGAAAGTTACTCAGTATTTTCCCTATCTTTTAGTACTCCTAGAAGGAGATTACAGCTCAAGTGCTCTGGGAATAGAGTGCACACTCATCCACAATTGAACGGATTTGTGTATAATCACATCATAGACGAGTAAGTACTTTCCCTAATAAGGAAAGGCAGGACAATAAAAGGAAAGGCCTAATAACGAGTAAGGCAGGATAATAAAATCACAAACAGCAAAATTGCATTAAGCATAGAAACTAATTGAAAAAAGGAAATCCATTTGCTGTATAGTGTTATTTAATACTGGGATCTCCTCTTCAGGCACGTCTTCACTTATCCTTTTGCAGCTTGGCTATGCTGAAAGAGCACAAAGCCATCTATCCTGGACCAACACAGACACACCTGCAAAAGCTCCTAATAGATAGTTATAATATGGAAGTTGGTTTTGCTTGGAGCAACACAGAACCTATTGATAAAAGCAAAGTTCTGTCACTATTAAATATTTTTACGCTACCCCTCAGTAAGTCTGCTTATGATACAAAACTGGGAGGAGCCCTCTCCTGAAGCAATTAAAAAAGAAAATGAAAACTTACATCACGACCTTTCTTAAACTCTCAAAAATAAAGTTTTCAGACACTGGGCCTCTATTCAAATATTTAAAGCAAGTGGAGCCACCAAAACATTTCTAAGAACCTTCTAAAAACTGGTAGCAGCACTTCACAGTTCAAGTAAACCTTTGGTTTTGGGAAAGACATAAACTTTACTCCTACAACTAATGACTAAACAATACAATTCAACAGTAACTACACTTCACGTTTGCTTATCCTTTTGCCTGTTAAGACCATGTGGAAACATGATTTTCCTGGAAGTCGAGTATGTCTCACATAATGGAAATTTCATGCTGAATATCTTACAAGTGTCTGATTATTAACCCTCTTAACTTGGCTGTGCTGTACCCCAAACTAGAAAAAACTTACTAGAATTCATTCCATCTCTAGAAAAAAAGTTAGTGGTAGCTTAGGAGCAGAAGGTGAAAACTTTAAAAGATTTGTAAACACAATAAAGTCCAAGTCGGTCAGTAATGTAAGCACTCTACAACATACTTCGTGCACTGTAGGGGCTACTTGCAAAGCTGAAACAATTATAAGCGAAGTCAGCTGGATGCATATAAAATGACAATCAGTGCAAGAACTCTGTCATCCACTGTGAAACTATTACATTACATTTCAAAAAGGATATTAACTAGGAATAATAAGCAGCTTCCTAAGCAGTCTCACAACCCAGTAGTTCAATGACCTATGTTCAACAGTACTCTAAGTCAGATCCTCTGAAGACTGGGGACGATTCCACAAAAGCTTGCAATAGAATAATATAAAATATGAGCTTTCTTTTTAACTTTTACTGATTAGTAATAAACTGTTGTTCTTTAACACTGAGACACCTGTAAAAGTAGACAAAACAAAGTACTATATTGATGCACTCCTTGCCAAATGTGGAATTTCTTTTTGTCTCCTACCTATTCCTTGCCATCAGCATTCTGTAGCAACAAATTTATCACAGTAATTAGTCATTATAATAAAAGCGATTCTTACAGGGGTCATTCATTTTCCTACACATGTCCAATAACATTTTAATATTGACTTTTTGGGCCAACAAGACAGGGCCATTATTTATTTGTCTGCTTGTTTATCCGTAAAACTTCCATTTAAAGGTATGCCTCAAAATGCCTATTTAAACAAAATACATTTCAAACTACTAGTAAAGTACTTAATAATATATTGAATAAAATATAACTTACTGTATATATACTTATGCATGCATATTTATCTGCCTATCTCTAAATGTAAAGTATCATGATTTCTGTAACAGAAACCTTACTTTTCTAATTCTTCAGGATCAAACTTCCACCAAGTATCTGGTTCATGGAATTCCACTCTGTAACCTTTTTCTAGAGCCTGCAGCAAGTGAAGAAATATGTGTGATATGTATATCTTTATTACATAAAACATAAGAAAAAATTAATAGACAAGTACAGTAAACAGATGTAGCTAACTCTGCAGTGGTAGCATGCCGAGTTTCACTCACCCCCAACCCGTCTTTTGTTCCAGGATAAGTAAATTAGATCAAGTCAATCCTCAAACTGATCTAAACCACTGCCATACCAATTAGTAATTATCAGCAACAATAGTCTCTCTCTTTAGAAACCTGAGCAAGGAAAATGTTTCTGGACAAAACACACCAACTTATCACATGTGAAGCTAAGTTTGGAAAACTGTAATGAGTGACATAATCATGCAACAAAACTTACCACTTCCACATACGGCTTCATTTCCCAGGCTTGAGTATTAGTGTTGTCTATTATAACTGGAGATCTTCCCTGCTCCATTGCTTGCTTTGCTGCAACGAAAAATAGTGCAAATTAAAAAACCACTACATCTAAACTATTCCAGATTTTTTTTTCACTAATCTACTCTGACACGCACTGTTCTAAGGGAAGGGATAAAAGATACAGACAGGAATGACAAGTAGAAACAAGAACCTGAAGGACAGGATGCCATCCAGAGGGATCTGTCAAGGCAACAATGATAAAAACATATCAAAGGCTGCTGAAATTTCAATAGAAGTGGCAGGATGAACTGAAATACGAGAAACTTCACAAAGCCACAAAAGTGAACTTACAGGGCCTAAAACCCTGACTGACACTAATTTTGGAATTAAAGTTGCAGTGGTAAATTAATTCCAGTTTTCCTAGTATTTGTGTACTTGACCTTACAATGATCATATTAAATGCATGTGTTTTGGTATCAAAATATGTATTTCACTGTCTTGTAAAAATTTGAGAGTTTGAAACTCTGTTCATCCAAAAGAAATTAATTTTTTCCCCCAATGGGTCTCACCTGTAACTATTTTTTCGCATACTTACTATATTAAAGATTCACTCCATCCCAAAAATGGGGGGAGGATAATTTTACCATAATAATTTTCTCATTTGTGAAGAAAATATATTTTTGTCTTCTCCATAATTCTGACATGAGGATTACAAATGTAATTTGTAATCTGCTAAATATGTTGTAATATTAATAGAAGCAACTACAGAAATAATTTATGCAGCTGATTTTACCTATATGAAACTTCAATCTAGACCTACTCATTAGATAAGAATCCCAACTACCACGACCACAATTTCCTCTGAAGTTCACATTTCATGTATTCCAAGGATCCACACACAAATGAAACCAAGAGTTTCTGAAGTACTTCCAGTCAGAGAGCTCTATCTAGTCAAAGCAGGAGGTAAGAATTGAGTCTATCTTCAACCCAAAAGTACTGCAAATGTTTTGCAGTGTTCTATAAAACATGACACAGCTACTCTTGTTCCTGTTATCAAAATCACTGAGTAACTACATCATATACTATAAGTTACCAAAACCACTGTGTAACTAAGTGGTACAGAACTAGAGAGATCTTTAGATCCAGCCAGAAGCAGCCGTAAGCCATTATTAAGTGAGAATTGTTCGGTGGTCTTGTAACTGGAAAGCTTTGAGACCTCTCATCCACATACTACTACCTTACCAACTCTTCTGCTCCTTTGGCTACTGCTGGGAACTTCATTCAAAGTATTCGTTATTGCTGCACTCAAATCTCAAAAGGGCTCTTGCAATTCATATTCTAACAACTGCTCTCAAAAATTCTGTTCATACAGAAATGTTCCCCAATGCATATCATAAATTTTGCATTAAGGTAAGAAGGGGAGAAAAGGGGAGAATACTTTTTTTTTCCTTGTCCCTCTGTATCTTTTGATGCAAAAAAACTCCTCTAGACAGGAAAGAAGCTTCTGCTTGAGACACTGCAGCACAGAGAGCAATCTGCATGGACTTGCTTAGTTTGTATACTCCTTGGAGAAGATCAAACAGACAATGAGATTCTTAGAAAACTGCTACAGAAGGAGCAAGAATCTGTCTACAATCCTTCTTATGTCAGGTATCTACTTCTTTACCAATAAAACTCAACCTTTGGACACTGCCATGTATTAAGAAAGATGACTTATCCAAGCTGTTAACTGTTAATCTACACAAGTGAAATAAAGTCTTCCTCAGAAAAACTCCATAAATTTTGGACGAAACTCAGATCAGTAAAGATAATGGAAAAAACCAGAATCCTCTGCTCTGCTCTTTTTGACTTGGATAGAGTTAGTTCTCTTCACAGTTGCTGGTATTACATCATGACATCTGCTGTTGCCAGCATTAAAAAGTTTGAATTCTGCTATCAAGATACTACTATCAGATGGAACAAATCAGTAGGGCATAGCCCAAAGAAACAAGTTTTTCTATTTTTATCTCTGAACCTTGTAGAAGTTCAAAATTTGATGTGTATATATATATACATGAATTAAAGAATAAAGAATACTTTAAATGCATAGTTCTATATACGCTATGCTAAAATATATATACTCCTTTTCACACAGACTCTTAAGACACATGCATGTTATGCTTCATTTCTATTTTCTCAGTATAACATAGTTTAACAGGATTCCCCTTATGCATTCAAACCTCTCTTCTGGTTCCAGTCATGGGCATCACCAAGCTGAGCAGCATTATACGTGTATCCATCCTGCTGACGGAAGTAATCATCGGTGCTGAATACAATGCCATCACAACTCTGACCAAGCAGAATGCTGTTAAACAAAGGAAAACACAAAAATAAATAAACTTTAAATTTTCAGATAGATTAAAAAAGACACATAAAAAGAATATAGCTAAAATAGATTTAACTGTGTCCTACTTCTGAACCTCTTGCAAACTTCAAACAGATTTATAAAAGTACACTCATGCATTACCAATAATCCTAATCCAAATTAAAGCAATATATTTTCCCCTTCTCTACTATTTCTGTAGTTGTTGTTTCTTCTCCACCCCCAAGAGATGTTCTAATTAGATCTATCTAATTTATGGCTTTACTGCAATAAGTTCTAAGTACCTCATAATAACTGAAGATATTTACTAACATTTTCCATCTCAATTCTCACGTCTAGAAACCAATCTGAACATGAGGCCTCCAGATGCAGCTGAAAAACAAACTGGATGTTTAAATCCTTTTTCAAGACCTTAAACTCTCAATATGCCCTCTTCTGACCCTTGTCCATGCTGCTTGCACATAGGATGTGGGCAGAACAAGAACAGAAAAATAAAACTACTAATGTTTACAGCTATTTCCCTGTTTTCAGGAAAACATAAAAGATCAAAATAAACTTTCAAGATCATCCTACTAATGAAAGTCAGGATTACAGAAGAGTGTCCATATTCCTTCAAGATCCTATATCCCATTCCAGTTCCGAGTCTTCCTGTCTAATCCTGACAACATAGTCTTATTCGTTCCTGTTTTCTCATCAACTCTGGCACTCACTGGAACTATAATCTGCTGGAATTCACCAGCCAGAAGAAAGCAATACTTTCCCCTGCCGACACCCCCCCCCAACCCCAGGTTACTTTTCTGAAGCTTTAGCCGTTGAAGGCCCCAAAAGGTGATACACCAGAAATTAATAACTACCAATGGACATGTCCCTTGCCTGAGCAGCAGTAAGCTGCTGCATGGGTTACCTCGTCTGGTAGAACTGCAGTTTCAGTCTAATAGATGACAAGAAATTTAAGACAGAAGTGGAGATATGAAAAACTCCTATCAGGGAATTATATTCTTTTCCCTATCACTCATAGAGTTAACAGGGTGATAGGAAAGCCATGCATCTTACTATCCCTGCATTAGTTATTTCAAATCAGGAGAAAAACTACTTGATTAGTGTTTTAGATTATTTTCCTTAAGGCAATGCCATCCCATGGTGACTTGTGAACACAGAGACCAATTTCACCAAAATCCGATAGTCTTGCAAAAGAATTTGGGGGGGGAAGGGAACAGACAAACCAAAACAAATTTGTAAACAAAAGGATCAAATGATTCAAATCGGAATTCATAAAGATAAAAATAAAAAAGACTGCAATGCAAATTTCACATTTACCCAGTCTTTAGGCCTGACATTTCTAAGTATCATAGATATTTCACTGGCTAGAAGTTTACTTCATTTGTGGGTTGGGTAAGTTACAGTACATTCTGCTTCTTGCACAGCTAACATTAAAGATTTCAGGACAAATTTAAGCATACTTTATCAAACAATAAAAGACACGGTGGAGAAGTCAATGAGGGTAAAAAAAAGAAATTCAGGGGGACACAGTTGCAATATCCACTGTTTACATGTTTATTTTTACTCTGTATTATAAAATTTTCATTACTGATATTTATTAATTACAGAAGCTATTGCAATGGGTGACGTAGGAATACTAGAAAAATCCATAAAGTTTTTCAAGAATTCTGCATTTGCAGCATCATCAAATGCCACAGTCAAACCTTCTAAAAGCATCATAAAGCTGACTTTTGGATTTAACTAAGGTTCATCCTAAACGCTGCCCAGGCACGGCAGCAAATACCTGCGAGTCAGGAAAAATTGATTATAGCAAAGTTCCAGGGAGTAATTAACTGCTGCTTGATCAATAACAGAACCTGTCAAATGAGCAATCCCCGTTCTGCCAAATGTAAACTTAATTTCACAAAGTCTTTGGAAATTGGTGTTTAAAGGAAAACTTTATATAACTAGGACAACGGTACAGTTCTCTTAAAGTCTGATCTACAGAAAAAGTGTGATTAAAAAACCTCCTTGACTATTTCAATCTGAAAGTAGAAAACAGCCAGTTAGCGTCACAGAGCATTTACAGCCCACTGCAACACTCGGATATCACTGTCCTATGGAAATTCAGGCAACTATTCAAGCTCAGAAATAGGCAATGTACACACAGGCTACTAAAACCAAACTGCACTAGCAGTTATGTGGGATTGCACTACTGCTGAGGTGGCAGGAACAAAAAAGAACTGGTCAGATGCCAAATGTCTTAGGGGAACAAATATACGTCAGTTCTAAGTTACCATGCTTTCCTATATATCTGTGCAGGAAGAGCTACTTAAGTGTAAGTCTGACATAAGGAATTTGCTAAGTCTGACACAAGGAATTTGCTAAGTCTGACACAAGGAATTTGCTAAGTCTGACACAAGGAATTTGCTATGTTTTGCCACCTGTCACCAACAATAGATCTGTTATGAATCACAATTTAATGACTGGGATGCTGCATTAAATATTAGCTTACATCCCTATATGTTTATTGTCCTGCAAATATGCTGTTGGTTATTTTTGCTTTTAAGATACAGAGATATGTACAACAAAATTCAGATTACTGAGGACCAGAACAAGCTACTAATGGCACAATGTCAAGTAACATGATCAAAGCTGCACACAAACTGTTATTTCCTCCTTGCTCTTTCTCCCTTTTCCATAGTATTAAGGTTACTTCAGCACAAATAGTAACCCTATTTGAGAAAGAGCATGATACATCAAAAGTACAGCCACTTTTTTGAACAGCGATCAATAATTATTTTTGTTCGAACCCAGATCTTTTAATAGGATGTGTATGACACTGGTTTAGAAGAGTACAGAAGGATTCATCACCTATTTTTGTTCCAAGTGGAATAAATGACACCAGTAAATCATACACCACACATGGCAGCAATTTTTGTATTTATTCCTCTATAGTATAAAATATTTAACAGGAATTTGTATTCATTAAGTTACATGGCCATGATTTCACATGTGGCCTGATTTCCTTATTTACAGTACGCTACATTTACCAATTAATCATGCTAGAAAAACTGGATCCATCTTCCACACTCGCTTTTTGTGTGCTGAATGTATATACACACATCTTACAGAACCATCTGCCTAAATAAATAAAAAAGATAGCAAATAACATCTGGGATTCTTCTACTAGTTGAGGAGATAAACACATCCCTACAGCTCCTATGGGCCTGACCATTCAGTTTCTACAGGAGTATATATGAACTGACAAATTAACAGTAATGGGACATTAATTTTCATTTTTATTTCTAAGAACTGACTCTGTTTGCTCTGTGTCCTGGAGAATAACTCACCTACTCAAACTCTTTTGTCATATGTTCCAAACACCATTAGTAGCAATAAAGAAATACAATGACCAAGAGTTCAAGAAATCTTGCAAACCCATCACCAAAGTTTATTCTCAAAATACTTTGTTAGTATTCCTTGAAGTTCAGAATGCGCCACAATTATTAATGAACCTGTATAATTGATATAACAGATTTAACATAGTAAACTGTTTGCAATAACCCTAAAACCAGGGAATTTGACAAGGCAAAGTGACTACCAAAGAGGCCAGAGTAATAGAACTCTTACACTATACACAACACACAAGCTATCACAAAGTAATACGTTTATGAACTGAAATTTCAATTATTACAGTAATGGTTGTAACCTGTTTCTAAATTGTGAAATAAAATCATAAAACAAAACACTTTAAAAGCCTGACAGTTACCTCTTTCAGAATTCATAGTGTTTAAACTTGTAAAATTCAAAACACAAACCTACTTGTTGACATTATACAGAGTAACTCACATACTTCTAACATGTATTTGGAAGTACAATTCATCCCAGGCTCATGAACTAGCAAATAGAAAGAACAAAAAGAGTATCTATACAAAGAAAGCATCATTACTATTTAAATCCCCAAAGAGATGATATTCCACTTTTGAGAAATGGAGAAAGAAAAAAATTAAGATAAATGTATTTCTAATGAGAGAGTCAAATTACAGATTAGTCAGCATCAATATGTGCACATGCCTGAAACGAACAGCATATTATCCAACTCCTCTAATCCAGCTTTTTTACCCTAAACCTTCCCTGCAACTGAACACCCACTTTTGAACAGAGTAGGGCACTGAAATTAAAGCAGCTATTAGAGTTAGAGCAGCTCACCTACTTTTTCCAGACATGCTATCTGATCTGATAGAAGCTATTAGCCTGACATACAAAACCCATGCTGAAACCAAAAAGCTATTTTAACTGGTCAGTAAACCAATACAATTTTTCCAGTGCACGTGTGTGTGCATGCATGCACACACACAAATCTTGCTTTAATTTTTCTCAAAACTAAAATGGTCCCCAAATCTGTATCCTGGTTAGCCTACTTTGATAGATGATTTTATAACAAAATCTAATAATTCACCTATTTAAAATAGCTAACCTATCATGGTGAGGAAAAAAAAGTAGTACTACTAAAGATTTTGAAACTATGTAACTGCTACTTTAACAGCATTGCTTGTAACACTTTATAGAAATACATAATTAGAAACAACAGCACACTACTGTTTCTACATTCAGCTATAAATATTGACACTTTAACTCTTCCATTCAGAAGATTTTGCTGTCAGGAAGAATGGTCCCAGATAAAGACAACTGTATTTATACATTCATGGATTTGATTAAAAATGTGCTTCTTAAATTACACTGATATTTGTTCTTCCTACTTCATTACACTCCTTTTTTTCAAATGAATGCTTAGATATTTATGGAGGAATGGCAAATAGCAATTGCTGCCAAGTTCAGGAGCAAAATATTCTAAAAATACAAGTCCCTTTTCCTGTAACTTTTCCCAGCATTGTAAGAGCCCATTATCATCTACTTTTAATGGTAGCAGACTTTTGTTACTTGGGCTAAAGGTATCACCGCTGGGTATCTGTCAGGTCAAACTATTTTCAAAAATCTCTAACTAAATGGCCTATCACTTACAAAACCAAGGAAGAAATACAGCATTTTTATCATGTTTTGTTATTCCAAGCTTTTCTCTGAGAAGTTTGGATTGACAAAGTGGGATCTGACAAAGTACATGCATTTGTCCTGCAAAAACTTTTTGTAAATGCGCCCAAGGTACACAACTTTGAAATGCCATGTGCACAGAAAATAGTAGTGAAAAAAACCTCATTTTTGTACAGAAAATGCAAAGATTCTCACTGCAGTAAACCCAAACTGGGAGTGGCAGAAAGAGCAATCTGGCAGCGGCAGGAAGCTGATTCAGGACCAATACTGCATTGCAAGAACACATTTCTCCCAACACAAGAAGAAACAGAAGAAACAAAACTGACCTAAAATAGAAGGACATGGGAAGGACAGTGCTATAAACACTGGAACAAGCAACTCAGCACTGGCAGCAAAGCTAGGAAACAGGGACAAGGCAAAGAGTGAAGCACAGGGAAGACACTTATAATGAAGTTGGGGGTGAAATAATACCACTAGCTGAAACAGGGACAAAACGAATCTGTGAAGAAAGGGGATGGAGAAGGAACTGAGAAATCAGCTTAGAATTTAGAAGCAGATGTGGAGCTAGTAAGCACAGACCAAAAGCCATGGTTGCATATGAACAGGAAAACAAAACTGGAAACAGGCAGTCAAGAAATAAGAATATGAAAGAGCTTCAGAAGGTTACGATTGTCTAGGTCAGGTGAACACGGGAAACACATCAGTGAGATGAGGGGGGCTCCCAGATGACTCAGAAGTCACTGAAGTTATGCTCATATTTAGGGCAAGTAAAGACAAAGACCCAAGGAACTAACAGCTACTCAACCTCAGCCAACCTCTGTTCTGGAAAGGCAATGGAGTGCATCCTATTGGAATCTATTTCCAAACATGTTAAGGAAATTAAGTTAACCAGGAAGAGTCCATGTGGGTTTTGTAACAGACAAATTATTCTTTACTGATCAGAATGCACTCTCTGATGAAACAATGTTTTTGTCCATGAGGACAGAGTGATGAATGCAGCACACCTGGAAATCATCAATGTTTCCAACATCATCTCCCAGTTGGTAACAGTACAGAAGAGCATGCTGGCAAGACCAGTTTTTTCAGTATCTTTGTCATTAATCTGGATGATGAGGCAGAGAACTTGCAGATGACTCCAAGTTAGCAGGGATGCTCAACATACTGATCAGCAAGGCTTCTAGCCAGAAGGCCACTGAGAAACTTGAGAACTGGGCTAAGCAAAACATCACTACACTCAACAAGGAAAAGAGAAAAGTTCTGCAACTGATGAAAAAAAACTAAGCATCAGCATAGGAGGGAAAGTGGTTGAGTGGCCCTGGTAAAAAGGATCTGAGGATCACAGTGAACATCAAACTGAAGATGAGCAAATGGTGTGCTCTTGTCAAAAGAGGAGCAAACTCCAGTCTGGGCTTTAGTAAAGAAAATGTGACCAGAAGATCATCTGAGAAGGCATCACCCACACTCTACCTGGTCTTGTGCAGTCAGTTCTGAAATACTGTGTCCAGGAGAGGCTTCCCAGTTCAAAAGACATGCTGAAACACACGAAAGGGCTGAATAGATGGCTACCAAGATAGCTAAGGGCATATAACCTACAAGGAGAGGTTAACAGCAGCTGGGCTTTAGTCTGGTAGTGGAGACAACAAAAGGCCTGATATCAGCCTATTACAGTGAATAAACTTATCCCTTACCAGAAAGGAAGCTGCAAAGAAGATGAGCCAGATTTTACCATGGAACAGCACATGTTACAACACAGAACACATACAAATTATGCTTTGGGAACTTCAGTTTGGAAGAACTTCCTTAGTAGGAGAGTTGTACTGCACTAGAAAAGTTTGCCAAGATCATAGAATCTCTGGGGGTTTTTCAAGATCAGGCCTGACAAAGACACACCTGATCTGATCCAATGATGGTGACAGACCCACTCCAAGCAGAATGATGGACTAGTTGATCTCCACTAGCTTCTTCCAAAAAACTTGCCTATGATTCCAACTGCTTATTTGGAATGGAAGAGTCAAAACAAAACACAAACTTCAGTGGAAGATTCAGGACACATACGGCTGAAGTTTGTGAGCAGGACAAAAAGAGTCTGTACTCACTTTGCACAAAACACTTTGCACAAAATGCAAACAGAAACTCAAGATTCCTAGGTCTAACTACTGGCCCTGCTGTCATTTCATACTTGGGAAATCCACTTGCAAGATGCACCTCATTCTCCTCTAGTGCTGATCCACATAGATGTCAACTTTCTGCTTCTCCTTAACAATCATGTTGCTCACAAAAGGGGTAGGGGTTTCTGCAGGTGCTAAAGATGACACATTCGCAAAGACACCTGTGGGTACTAATATGACCTCAGATGACATTGTCCTAGTCTACACAGAAAAATTTTATGATGTTACACAGAAAAATATGTTCAACTTTATTAAGAATAAGACTTAACTAATAATACAAGTATTTTCCCCATAGGCAGCCATTAATTCTGGGACTTTTTTCCCCAAGGTATCTAAGACCCTGAGACATGATTTCATGGGAATTTGCAATTGCAACCAAGCATTGAACATATGAAACTGCATGTAATTGAATATACTGAAAAACAAGTTCCACACAGTTCAAATTCTGCACTCACATTTGGTAACTATTCTTGACCTTGATTTCATAGTACTCACTTTCCCATATGTTAAATAAAATTAGTAATTGATCTCACTAGCGAGAGATGAAAAAAGCACAAATATGTGTTCATAAAAAGCTCAAGATACTTAGAATTTTTCAGAAAACATGAGTCATATATTTCGAGAAAGATTCCGAGACAAGTTAGCACACCAAACATGGAAAAAAAAAATCTAGTATTTTTATATTAAGTATTATCCAACTCCTGCATTGAATGAGGCAGCATTTTTTCCACAGTGTTATTTTTCAAATTTTCTATGTTGCTTTCACATAATAAAGGAATTACTGCAATAATACCACACGGGCATATGCAGGTTTGCAAAATACAGCAACCACTAACTATAAAATATTATAGTTAAAATTACTCAAACATGTAAGAAAATATCTGTTAAGAGATTTCTAGCTATGATACGGAGATCATGGTCTCCTAAATATCAGGAAAAACCCCACAAACAGAACGTTACTCCTTTATACAAAAAATAAGTAAGAACATGATCACTGTATCTATTTCAGACGCCTAGCACACGACAGAACAAAACCACAGAAGACATCCCATTTCTGATGTAGTTTCTGGATGAAACTCAATCAGTAAGTACTGATTTAGTAACTTTTTTTTTTTTATAAAAGAAATTAATACAGGTAGTGTCTGCGCTCTATGTCAACTTTTGCGCTTTTTAAATTAGGCCAAAAAAACCCAAAGTGAAAATCCAAGTTGGAGATGGCATCTGCTTTTAACCCTGCCAGACATCAACAAGTATATTTTTAAGAAAAAAATTAGTATTTTTCTTGTGTGTTCACAAATAAACAGAGCAGCTGACAGACCATACTATGAAAAAAAGGGAATGATTATGATGAGTTCCATCACCACACTGAAAACAAGCATCCTCAGAGTAGCAGAATTCTTCTAACGAAAATTTTTGTGTGGAAATAAAATTGTACTCCTGGTTCAGTCAAATTGATGCTGTTAGATTTAACGGAACTTTTTTTTAAATAAAGGAATTTAAGAATTAAAAAAAAAAAGCGGACCATCACATACTAGTACACCTGAAAGCCTCAGAATAAACGATTATGCAATTTAATGGATACACAACATTTTAACACAAAGCAGCTTCTGGTCATCAAAACTCTAAAGAAGACAAAATCCCCAACTAAAAACTTTTAATATTTACTGTCATTTGCACTCACCAAGTATGAATGACAGCAAATACTAAATTACTGCATTTTAGTAGCCTAATTTACAAACTAAAAAGTTGGCTAAGTGCTTACAGACATTTCTAAATTCTTAAAAATTTTTATTTGAATAAACTTTTCAAGTTTTAAGTCTTTACTTACCGAGAAAGTGTAGATTTCCCTGAACCAGGTAGGCCTCTTAAGATTAGAAGAAATTTCTGTGCACAACCAGATCTTTCTTCAGATAACTGCAAGGAAGAAAAGCTGCACATTCCTTCTGTATTGTCGACTTTTGGATCCTTCCAACACTCTTCTCTGGTTTCACAGAAACCATTATTTTGGAGTCCCTTCTGGTCATTATTTTCATTTCTGAAGACCTGAGTAGTATGGATGTCAATATGACTAGCATAGCTGGTATTTTGATCAAGCAGTGGACCGTGATTGTTGATATCAGTATTTCTATAGTAAGTACGACGATTTTCATAACAAAGTTCCCCACTCTGAAAAGGGAGAGCATTTGGAATTTGTGGTGGGGAATTAAGTGTCTGAAAACGGGACTGATGGTTCAGTCTAGGAAGAAGAGGACCCTGAGGTAATACAAAAGATGCTCTAGTCTGCCAAGCAGGTCTGAATTCAGGCACTGAGCAGTTCCAACATTTAGCATCTACTTGGCCATTAAAGGTATTTTCAGTTTTCCAGCCATCTGTTTCCACAACAAACTGCTGCTCATTGCTAGTTTTCTGACTGTTCTGTTCGCCAAGAAAACACTGTCCATTCTCATAAAATGGCTGTGGGCTGTCCAACAATATGTGTTGACAATCCTCTTGTGAGCTTTGACTACAGTTATATGGAAACTGTTGTTCCTGAAAAATTTCACTTTCTTTTCCCTGAGGATTAGTATCTAAACATTCATTTTCCAGCTGATGAATTTCTTTATAGAACTGGTCCAGTTCATCATCTATTTCTGGTACAGTGGCAGAAACAGCCTGCATCTTCTTAGCCTCCTTTCTTTTAGGTCTGTTTTCATGTAATTCATTCTCATCTCCCCCATTGCTTCTACATTCATTGCAACTGCCAGATTCACCCTGTTTGTTACTTTTGGCAGGCTTGTAAATAGGTCCTATAAATTCTGTGCTTGTAAAAAAGTCTTCATCTGATGCATTTCTATTTACTGATAATGATGTACTACTTTTTTTACTATTATCTTCACCGGCATTATTTGTAATAAAAGGGTCTTTCTCTTCTTTAACTTTAGTGTCATTTATCGATGCAAATGGAGGATTTACATTCTGCAGAGTTTCTAAATCAACTGGCTGACTAAGCACTGGATTATTTTCAAGGAGAACTTCATTCGATGATCCCAAGACACCAGTCAGTATTTTCTCCTGCTTCTGCATTTCATGTTGCCCTTGGTTATCTGAGGCACACGCTGGTATCCAATCACTTGATGTTCTCTCAGCATCCACCTCCTGCTGAATACCTTGGTTATCATCATCAGGGAGTTTCTCGTAAGTCCCTTCTGCTGACTTCATCCTTTTAGAATATGGTTCAGTTTTTATTTCATCGTGACACTCCGAGAGCCTTATTCTATTTTCAGCATGAAGCATCTTAGAAAAAACAATGAATACATTATCAGCATGCATATTTTTAAGGTAAAGTATAAAAAAGCAGAACTTATTCAAGCCTATGACATCAGACCCTCAGACCCTCCACGGTCACAACTAAAATGTACTCACCCAGGAGAAAAGCAGACATCACCTACCACAACTACGGTTTAAGCAAGACTGCCACATTATTTACTGCTCATCTTTAGTAAAAAACTACTATAGTGCTGCATCAGTTCAGTTGGAATTTTATGATATACCTTAAATAATTTACAAATCATGATTTTAAAATGTGAACACTTGAAAAACTAATTACATCAACAATCTCTGTTCTCTACTGACCTGTTACTCTGTCAAGTGATAGAAATCTCTTACAGGATAAACATAGGCCAATTTCCAATGCAGAAACTGATTGCTGACATCACTACTACTATGACCAACAAAAATGCAAATACTTCAATCACGAGGATTGTTTTCTGTGACATGAACCAAACTCAACTAATTCATTTAACACCAACTGAACAGATGCTGGATGGCATTTGTAATTTAGAACTAGTCAAATACAACTTTAAATCAAATCTGCAATCTGTTATTATGTTTCTTGTTTTGGAACTAAAGACTTCTGTTAGGGACCAAGACCACTTGGTTATGTGCTTTCTAAAAATAAACACGCACACAAAATAATCCTTGTCATAAACAGATTGCATTCTAAGAATAAGGCAGTAAGTTCCAGAAAGATTCGGAGACTAGCAATCACAAACAAAGCAAGATGGCACTGACCCCCGTGACATGTAGTCATGCCATTATCCATCTAATTATTGGTCAGAATTTCTTGGATTTTGCTTTGTATTCCAGAAGTCTAGACAGTATGCAATAAAGAGCAGTAATCATTTCATCACAAATCAAGTGCCAAGTAGTTTATTCAGCAAATCCCAGCCCACAAACAAATGGGGTATCAAACAAGACAGAATGTGTTTCTCCTATTAGAGAATTTATTCTACTGCTTTCTGTGAACAGCTCAACTTTCTGGGAGTAAGTATTAACAAAATGTCACATGCTCTTTATCCTGGATATGAAAATATTTTTTTTCTTTATCTGAAAAAGATCTGTAGTTAAGTATTACAGGAAAATTTTAAGTAACATGGTCACTTGCAAAACTGACAAGAAAACATGTTACTCTAGGAATTTTCTCACCTACTAGCCAAAGGGAGAGAAACCTGCCATTCTCATTCTCCAAATGTCTAAACCAAGCAGATTTTACTGTCTGCATTTGACTTTACTACCTGGAATAGAGCACTACTGTCAGATATGGAAGAAACTATCTCTCCTCCTCAGAATTGGTAGAAAGAACACTGTTGGCACAACGGTCTCTCCTCTCAAGATATATGTGTTTTATGCATACCTCTGGCTTCTCAGTTCCTCCTTTCTGTAAATTAGAAAGCAAGTATGATATTATGTGAATAACTGACTCTATCCCCCACCTATCAAAAAAATATTACTCTGCCTCCACTCAAAAACAGGACTGGGGAAAAAAACCAGCTGTTTTATTAGCTCCTATGTCCTCATCCTCCTCTGGGATGGTGTTTAAGCAGAGCCTATTTTCTGATGTGGAATGAAAACAACACATGTGAACACTTGCTGCACTACAGTATCTCCAGTGATGGAGGATACTGCTCTGTGACTGTCCCACACAGGAATATCTTTTCTTGCTAATCTCTCACAGACTTTCCCTGACTATCCTTTGGGACAGTGACGCTGCATACAAAAGCATATCCACCTGCATTCTTGTGGAGGACATAGCAAGCACGTACTGAGAAAATGCAGTCTCTGTGACAGTCTTGCCTCTCAAGGGGGCCGGCACAGGTCTGTATTATTTCTGTAAAGAACTAGTAAGCATTGAAGCCGAGCCGGCACGGCGATTCACCGGGCTCCCACTTGCCACGCTCAATCACCACTTTAACTGACCTGCCAAACATCCAGAAGGTTCAAGCAACAAACTCAAGGCCCTGAGCTCCACCTGCACGCCACATTCCCCAGTGGAAAAAGGAGGGTTATGTGGCAGAACCTACAGACGGGGGAACCTCCAGGCTGTGCTTGCGTGACCCCTCTGTGGGTACGGCGATGACAAAGCGCGTAGGCCTCACACGGCGCCAGGACACACCTGGAGCCGCGGAAAGCAGGCGCTGCTCGCACACCGGGCTGGGAGCGGCGTGACCGAGGAGACGCGGCCGCCAAGAGCCGCCAGCCCCATCCCTCAGGTGTGTCAGCTGCCCGCTCCCCACAGTGTAAAGCGTACCCAACCCCGGTCCCCCAACACTTCCCTCATCCCGGCGCCTGTGTCCTGCAACCTCAGCAGCCGCCGGCTCTGCGCGCTGACACTGCCATCCCCACGCCGCCCCTTTCCCAGCCCGGTCCCCCTTGGCCACACGTCGGTGGCGACGGAGGTCGGGGAAGAAGCGGCTTCCCGGTCCCGCTGAGCAGCAGCCGCCACAGCCATACGCGGGCGAGGAACCAACCTCCAGGCAGCGGCTCCCGCCCGTGCCCGGCCGCGGGAGGGGCAACGCCGCCAACCCCCGCTCCCAAAATGGCGCCGCCTCCCGCTGCCCCTTCACCCCGCGCGCGGCGCCGTGGGGGGCGGGACATTCCTCCCCAGGCCCCGCCCCCGCCCCGGCGGGAAGTGCCCTGAGGGAGGGAGCGCGGGCTGGCCCGGATTGTGATGCTTGGGGGGTTGTTCCCTCAGCATCCCGGGGGGATCGGACCGTCTGGTTTGCTTTAAGTGGCATTCTGGTTTTCGTGAGAAAATAACAACGATTTTAGCGAGATTATAAAGTTCCGATGAGGATTGTCCGCAGCGTAAAAGCTGCCCAAGTTTCCTAGACGCGTGTTGTACTAAACGTGGACTTCCAACTTTTCCCTGCTGCATAAATAGGGTGTATTTTTTTCCATTATGTGACTACATTTTTTTTTCCAACTCGTGGTGTTTTGCAAGGCAAGCCACATTTTTCCCAAAAAGCATTGTTCTTACAAAAGTCTTGTAACAGTAATTGCCCAGTTTTCATTAGTGCACATAACAGCTCCTGTAAGTGATGTCCCCATTCTAAATACCTGCAAGGTTTATTCTTTCACATCACCTGAATGAAATATGAATGTTTGAAAGTATATAATTTATAAAGTCTCTGAAATTATTTGCTGTAAGTGGTAAAAAGAAAACTGGTTGTTAAAATCCATGCCAGGCATTCCTTCCCATTACTCCTAGAACCAAAACATTCTTTCCTATGCCAGGTGATGGCCTTGTTTGTTGGAAGGCATGTGTGGAAGGATGTATCCTAGGGAGCATTTTAATTTAGATCAGAAGTGAGCTCTTGAAGTGAATCTCCGGTTCTCCCCATTTGCCATGCTTTGTGAAGATTAGTGATCTTCCAATTTAAAAGCTCCTGAGATGTGTATTGTGTGAATGCCACAATCAGATACTTTTCCATATTGATTTGCACTTAGCAGCGCTGTCCCAGTTATGCAGACATTGCAGCCAGAGCTGGAAAACCTGTGTGCAGTTTCTAAGGAATAACAGTGGCATAACCTTGTCACCCTGTTCCAGACTGGAAAAATGACGTGTGTATTCTCCTGGAAGATGAGAGCAACCCTGTGTTTAGACATGGCCTTGCTGTGTGTTTGGGACCTGTGTTTTGTACCATGTTGTGGAATCCACAGTCAAAGAGACAAATTTTAATGCCATTTTGAAGTAAAGAAAAATTCAGAAGGAACTGGTCATTTCTGCTGTAAGGTGTCCTTTCAGGGAGGAAAATAGGAAATATCATAAGGAGCTGACCTTTGCTACCAAGAAAAATGTAAGTAACACAAGATATGCAAAAGAACATAAATGCAGGTTGGTGTAAGTATAATGCAAGTATTTTGCAAATACAAAGTGCTACACTGCTTTATTCTTCTACCCTTTTTCATGAGATTATCTAAAGATAAGGAGGCTAGTCCTTAATTTTAATATTAAAAGTATTTTGCAACCAAAATTCTTGACTTCTTAGAGAATTCTTTTCTAATTGTAATACTATCAGTTATTTAATTCTAAAGAAAAAACTATATTCCATCTGAGATACTAATTGTGTGCTTCCCTACACAAGCTAAATCCCGAAATACTCAACTTCACCATTTAGAGAGAATAAGTATACTGCACATGGACCTTTTGAAGGTAGTATCTGGAGATCAGAGCTCTCAAGTGCTTCATGTTGTATCTAGTAATTGTTTCAGATGTATTTCATTTGAGGAATTATCCCAGTACTTGTGTACCTAATTAAATAAGCCACATGTTAGAAGTGGCAGTACCCTAATGTCATTTTTTCAACCTCATTGAGCCTAATAAAATATACTTTCCCTGGTGATGCTATTACAGCTGCTGCAGATCCCATATGGGAAGATATTGTGCTTACTTGAGACAAGGCTACAAATAGTTCCCCCAGAATCCTCCAGCTGTACCAGATAGTAAAAGAAGTTCCATTGGAAACATCAGCAGGAGAAGCAGATAGGGTACGTCAAAATATTGTCCAAAGGGTCAAACATTCTAACAGTGAAAATATTTACAAAGAAGCCTTAACAGATTGTGGGTTTTCTTTGCTTGCAGAGGAGTCTGAATTTTTTAACTTAATTTTTTTATATGTTTATAACGGTACTCAGAATTCTACTGTGTGCTTCTACTATATCTCACCCAAATCATGCTTCCTGTAACGTGCATCTATTATTTTGGTAGAACCTTTGAATAGAAGTAAAATAGAAGAGTTTAGTAGTGTTACCGCATGGCTAACAAATCATGAAAAATTATGTCTTCTTGTGTTCCTTGACATTTATGCCATCACCTTCGCATTAGTTCATGAAATGTTGGCTTTAACTGATCTAAGAGAAGAGTCAAAGGAAAAATTTCCACCTTAAATAGTCAGATTTTGATTCAGTTTTCCAAGTGTCTTGTAAGTTTAAGTTGATTTGAACCTTACAGATTGCATCATAATTTGTACGTGTAAGGGAAGTGAATAATGTTCTATGAAAAGAAGTAATTTTGACATTATGTAACTTGAGTGTTTGAACTTGCAAATGGAGCATTTTCTCACAGTAGCTTTTGCATTTGATTTCCTAAATAAAAAAGGAACGATGGCAGCTGTCCACTGATTCCTTTGTGGTTTACTAACGTGACCTGTCCTACCATGTTACTCTACCCAGCGCCTCCTTGCAATTGTTATTGTACTCACAGTGGGTTTGTTTCTACCCACTGTGACTGCCAGTCTCTTCCTCACCTCTACTGTTCCTTTCCAATATGATCTCGCTTCTTGTCTGGTTCCCGTTATTCCTTTACATTCCATAGCCCTGTATCACTTCCTGCTACTAATGCTGTTCTTTTCCCCCTTCCCTCCCTTTCCATTTGGTTCAGGGTGTTTTCTTCCTTCTGGTTTTTATCACTTTCTTTTTTCCGGCAAAAGACTGATGTGCTGCCTTTATCTTCTCCTGCAAAGTCTGGAACACAGCAGCACAATGGCATCCATTTCCTCAGGGAAAACTACTGAGAATACATACATTCTCTTCAGAGAATGGCAGCTGTTATGGCAGCAGGAAGAGGACTATTCTTCAGATTTCTCAGAAGCACTGGGTATTTTTAATAAAAGCATCATGCTGTTCTTTTCTATATGGAAAGGTTTTCCTTAAATATGCATATGGAAACATTTTAGATGAAACTTTCCAAAATAACTCAGCATAAAGAAGGTAGTTGTCATGAAAAATATTAACTCAAAAATTAAATGTTTGTTAGCAAAACAATAAGTGCCTGTGTTCTGCCTTTTAATAGAAAAGATTAGGCAAAATTTAATATAGAAATGAGGAGACTCCATCTGTAATAACAAGGGGAAAAAATAAATATCCAGTGGGAACTACTTGAAATTGGCTTTAATATTTAAGGGCTAATGTGGAATGATAACTCAACCATTTAGATCTTGTGCCTGAATCTTGTTATCAGACTTGACATAACAGAGGACTCCTTCTCATAAAACTGTTCTCCTAATAACACTTTAATAAAGCATGTATTGGAGTTCAAGAGGACTAGTTAAGACTTAGATTTAATCACGCCTCTCTCTAAAGGGTAATGACCTTGGGTGGTAATTTGTCTTGTCACTCTACTAAATTATGTTTGAAAAAGTGAGACTTCAAGATGACTTAAGAAATACCGTTGCATAATTCTTTGAATTTAAACCAAACTATATCTAGAGAGAAATTCTGGAGAACTTTAAGAGAACTGGTTTACTCAATAAACTAGGAATGTTGCTTGCCAAATTGTTTTTCTGAAACTTTTACATGGCAAAGAGGAATACTGGTCATATCAAAGTTTCAGAGGTAAAAACTCAGTAAGTTTTTTACTTATTAATTGCCACAGATAATGTGGAGGTTTTTATTTTCAAATTTCAACTTGAGAATTAACTTATGAATTACAGTTTTGATAAAGTTATATCTTTTTACCAAAAAAAAATTTAAAAATCCTGGTAGCCTACTGGTTATGTGATATAGGAGCATGTTTTAATATATGCAACAGATTTTAGTAAGTGATGTTTTAGACATGGATAGATTTGATTTCTTTTGACTATGATATAACTAATTTGCCATTTAAATATTATTATTTGATTCCCTTCCAGTACTGCATGAATCCTTTTGGAGACAAAAATAGCAGGGAAAAAATAAAAGAAACACTAATTAGTTTATTTTGGAGGTTCTCAAAACCTTTCATTTGATGGTTTTTAGCTGAAATCACCATGATACTTAGTTTTGGGGGGTTTTTTTTGACAGTAAAGCACCTGTTCTGTGAGTTACATTATAGCAAAACAGAACTAAAAGAATGGTGACATTTAACCTGTAAGACAGAGTGCTTTAGAAAAGGTAACAACTGCTGGCCCACGACAAAGCTGAGCTTATTGGTTGTGAAAACCGACCAAGAAAACACAATTCTGAACAATTCATGTATTTCAAAGTAGAGCATGGAGAATTTCTAGGAAGCTGACACTTAAGGTGAAGGTCCAGTAACTGCTTACTCTGCTAGACTCTCTAAATAGCATCTCAAATTTACATAAAAATGAAGGAGACTGAGTGTAATGCCTTCAGTAGACTGAAATTCAATGGGACTTTAAAATAAGTAGCTCTAAATAGAGGGCACACAGTGGAATGGTAAAAGCAAAAAGTGTGAGTAGCAGAAAGAAATGAAGCATTGTGTGTAATTCCTGAACACAAGAACAAATTATATGGAGCAACTGAAAAATAC